GACAACTTCTGCATGAGGCACTGAACGTGACGGAGCGTGTGACAGCAGCTTTGAAGCCAACACAAATTTATCGCAAATGTATCTCGTGTCATCTCGTGTTCCGGACCCGCAGGTGCAGCGGTTACCTCCTCACGAGAATGGCTGGTGACTACAAGTTCTTCCTGAGCTCAGATGATGGCACATGGGCTCAGAAAGGGGTAGTGATGCAGTGCATGACTGAAACGGGGCACCAGACCGTTCTCTGAAGTTTGACGTTTGCAGGTTCTTTGATGTACTTGAATGGGGAAAAGATCGTGGACAACGACGGCTGCCATGGTGAACGCGAAAGGCACAGCCACCACAAGTCTCTCTCGGTTGGTGCGCACCATGTGGTGCTGGACATGTGCGAGATGGGCGGCGGCCAAAACTTCAAGTTTCACTACCAAGGGCCGGACACCGGCGTTGCCAAGGTCAAGGTTCCCTCCTCCGTCCTTAGACATGAGGCCAAGGCCCAGTGGGGAGCTATGTTAACTACCTTCAGTCTTGTTACCAGGAGTTGGATCCCCAAAAAGGCCACTGCAATTCCTAGAGAATTAGGATGCAAGAAACGCCCTATCCATTCTTGATGCAACCCATGCACAACTTCCGAGTTGTCGGACGGCCTGGAGTGCGACTACTTCTACGGCAGAGCACAATGCCAAGTCCCAGATTTGAAAGCGATGAAGCACAGCTGAATCGGCCCCAGCAGCTGTATCTCTTTCTTAGGTGATTTAGGTGAATATACTGCGAGAATGATGGGATAATGCACAAGTATGTGTCGATTGTGTAGGGCCTCAGAAAAACTGTTAGGTGTGTGCGGTTTCTCATTGTCAGATCGCAACAAGTGGAGGGGTTGTAGGTGTGACCGTGCGGTTCGAATCTCCCCAGTGCTCTCATCCGAACTTGCTGCGATATCCTGGCAGATCATATGGGATCGACACTGAACAGTGGTCCAGCCTTTCAAGAGGTCTTCTGCAAGAAGTGACTTGTGAGGACAAGGCGGATGTCCTTGCCTGGCATGAACGAAACTCACAGAGCCGCCCTCTGGTCACGCCCTTTTAACAGAATGCCTCCATGCATTGAGCCAGGTTCCAGTAGAATCTGCTTTAAAGCAGATTGGAACCAATTTGTGTTTGAGGCAGTTTGCGAACAGTTCCATTTTTGAAACCAGGTTACACGCACGAATGAAAACACGCAGAATTCAAAGGGTTCAGGAGGCGCTTAAGCGGTTGAGAAGCGGCCCCGCACCTGGAGCACGAATTCGCTTAGAAAATCCTAGGCAACGACTAGGCAACATGTCCTGTAGCCAGCTTGGGCGATCGCAAGGACACCAGCCCACACCGCGATTCTGCCGCAGATCTTGATGGACCCGAGAGGGATGCTGATGTAGCCGCAGCCCACTTTCAGGTACATCAGGAGGTTTACAGTTTGTGGCGGCTTCAGCTTAGCCTTAAGCCATAGTCTTTGCAGCATGCCGTGCCATGTTCGCATGTTCAGGAGAATCGAAACTTCCCCAATCTGTGGCAGAGCGACAACTTCTGCATCAGGCAGGATTCCTTAAAGGCCTTAACCCCAATATAAAAC